AATAATCTATGGGTGCGTTCAGATGGGCCGTTTAGTCCGCTTTTGTCCCGCCTCAGAAACGGATTTTATCTGCGCAATCACATGGTCAACATCTGCCTCCCGTCCCCAGCCGTCACTTTCCGGCTCAAAACAGCTTTAACCCGGAGTATTTCAATGCCAGGTCCCCAAGTGGTGTTTTCCTGCTTCTCCGGTTCCGGCCGCACTTTTCTGATGTCTGATCACTCCTGCTTGGAAGCTGCCCGAGGCTTCCGCTTTTCGCCCATTTTTTTAGCGCTGACGGTGTGCACATAGGCGGAGGTCCGCCACCGCGTTATTAAAAGCAATGTTTAAACGGTGCCTAGTTTTAGCATTTAGACCAGTTTGGGGTCTCACGGAGGCCGTTTTCGGGGTAAACGTTTAAAGAGGCCATTTTCGATGGTAAACGTTTAAAAGGAAGTGTTACAGCAGTCGGGTTGAAGTGGAAATCGCTGTTCTGCGCAGGCGCGAAACTTTCAGTTCTACAGATGGCTGCCTGTGCGCATGCCCAAAATGAGAGAGAGAAAACAACAATAGCACAGTAATCCGGAGCAAGGAAGTGAGTGTGATCGCGATTCTCCAGGTTCAAAAATACCGCATCAGGGCCAGAGTGATTTAAACCGCTCCCAGCACGCCGTCTGACTGCACCCTATACGTGTATACCCTATGGGTTTGGGCCACTGTTGCAGTTGGGGGGGAGGTATTTTCTCCCTGAGAGGGATCCATAAGAAGGGCCTGAGGGAAAAAGAGATTTCTGAGGGAAAAGTAATTTTTGAGGGGGGAAAGGGAAAATGGAAGCCCTCTGGGTGCTGTCCAGAGAACAGTGAAGCCTGAATTGGAGGTTCAAGACACCTGCAGCCGTGAAAGACCAGGAGCACCACCCCCACCACCGAGTGCCAGCCATGCTGCAGCCAAGACTGAGTGCAGGAGACTTGCAGAAGGCCGCACAGGCTCAGTAAAATACTTTTATCACCTCTTTTGTTCCAACTTTACGTTTTGTTGCCTAAGTTTGAGTTTTGTCGATGTGTGTCCTATTTTGATTCCCCACACCTCCTTGTGGAATTAAACACTACTTGTATTTACGGTTATAGGTGATCTGAAGGGTTTGGGGAGCTGTTTTGAAACTGCATTTCCCCTTTATTTTGCCTACTGACCATTTCCCCTCTCAGCTAGGAGTGGTGGAAGCCACTGAGTTGGAGGCATTGTTTTTCACATGCCCTGCCAATAACCAACCCAGGTTCCCTAATTTCTTTTCTCAACTGGGGTTGATATCCCCCCAATGGGGGCAGGACTTCCACCAATTTTGGGCCCCCTGATCCGCCTGCTGGCTGGCTGGCCAGCGGGGGGAGCCTTGCCCCCGAAGAGCTCCATGGTGTCTGACATGCCCAGCACGATGATGTAAACCAGAGGTGACATAATCACGCTGGACATGTCACCAGGGGGACGCTCTAGCATTCGGCCAAAAACTCTATGGTACCATAGCATTTGCACACACGCAACAAGATCCCAGGAAGGAGCCTCCGCCCCCCTACCGGCAGAAGATAGGGGACCTGGCATCCCTTCTTCCTTCCCCCACCCACGCACCCTGCCCACCTGCCCTCCCCTCCTCCCACAGCCGCCTGCATGCCATTTCCACAGTAGCACTCAGATGTATTTGCAGCTGGGAGTGCCGCTGCTGCGATCACGTTAGGGATTTCAATGTAAAAGAAGAGTTAATAAATGCAGCAGACCACTTTTAAACAAGCTTTTAAACAAGAAACTTTACTAGTGAGGGAGGGTAAACTGGGAAAATGCTAGGAACAAAGCAAAGGATTAATCACCCCTCTGACTGCACTAACCTACATCTTGACTCTGTAAAGTCTCAACCTGTGCTAGCCCCAGGCAAGATAGAACAAAGAGCAATAAACTTTCTAAGCCTCCGCCCCTAGGACATTTTCTGATCTATTACAACACCTTTGTTGGCATAGTAAATTTAACGTAACATTTAGAGTCAATATATAAAATTAAAAATCCATACATAGGTTAAAACATAGGAACATAAGATTATATAAGGATTAATTTATAACAGCCCAGCCCATCCATACATAGGTTAAAACATAGGAACATAAGATTATATAAGGATTAATTTATAACAGCCCAGCCCATCCATACATAGGTTAAAACAGGTGCAGAATGCTGCAGCCAGGCTGTTGGTGGGCGCCCCTAGGTGGGAGCACACCCAACCTGTACTGAAAGCGCTGCACTGGCTGCCTATAGCATACTGGATTCGCTTCAAAGTGCTGGTGCTTACCTTTAAAGCCCTACATGGCCAGGGTCCGACATACCTGAGGGACCGCATTTCCCCACATATTCCCCAAAGAGCACTTCGTTCGGGGTCACAACACCGGCTGGTGACCCCGGGCCCCAAGGAGGCCAGGCTTGCGGCAACGAGGACCAGGTCCTTCTCAGTGGTGGCTCCTATCTGGTGGAATGAGTTCCCGGAGGAGATCAGGGCCCTGCAGGACCTTGTGCAGTTCTGCAGGGCCTGTAAGACGGAGCTCTTCCGCCAGGCCTTCGAGTAGGAGCCGCCACTGCCACTACCACCACCGCTCCATCATAGAGCAATACCGCCGGAGGGCCGGGTAACATCTATCCACGGCCCTAGCCCTCCCTCTCTGTTATGCACGACGTTGGGAGCTTTTATGCGTGGAACTGAATTTTTAACCGTTTTTATATACTGTATGCACTTTTGTGCCTGTGTAAGCTGCCCTGAGCCCGTTCGCAGGGAGGGCGGGGTATAAATATAATCAAATAAATAAATAAATAAATAAATTTTATTGAGTAGCTGCCTGCAAATACATTGGCAAGTGCTGTGGCAACCCCAGGAACCACACAGCGGATTGCTGCTGTGATCAGTATTCATCCAATGAAGCTGATGGGCAGTAGATTCAGGAAGGACAGAGGGAAATACTTCTTTACACAGTGATGATGATTGTAGAATTAGCTGTCAGAGGATGTACTGATGGCCACAGGCATAGACAGCTTTAAAAGGGGATTAGATAGATTCACGGAGGATACGTCTATCAGTAGCTACTAGCCATGGTGAATAAGAGGAACCTCTACATTCAGAGGCAGTCAACCTCTGAATACCAGTCCTAGGAGGAGGCAACTTTAGGAGAAGGCCTTGGCCTCTGTGCCCTGTTGTTGGACCTCAAGAGGAACTGACTGGCCACAATGTGAGACAGGATGCTGGACTAGATGGACCACTAGTCTGATCCAGCAGGGCTCTTCTTATACCAGCACTAGGTAACTTTTTTGGTTGAAAAAAAAATGCAACCTCTACTTGTGGGATGGGGACTAGGGTTGTATTTGGAGACACTCCTCCCACAAGCCAAGCTCCAGTGCCACAATCAGCATTTCAGGGACTTGCCTTGAATTTGGCTGGTGGCTGTGTAAGTATGGGAGGCAACAGAGGGCATAAGTCCTGGCTACTGCCTTCTACTGCCCACTGGCCCCAGTGCTGCTACTGGTGCCTTGGTTGTTTGAGCAGAAATCTAGCCCTGGGTACCAAGGGCTGCTGTGGTATTGTTGGCACATGTGCCAAACTTACTAAGCCCTGAGATATACCAAGACTATATGGAATTGTGGGGTTGTTTTGCTCTCCTACAGTCAGTCTATGTAAATTATTCAGTGACAATTGCTTGCAACCCATCAGCTATGAAATGCAAACTTCTGAATCTATGAATAGTCCAGAAGCATCGGGTTTTTTCCATTTATAGCACAGTAGAGGTTAAAACTGATTGCCTTACTGACTTGTTTGGGTACCATCTGTGGAACATTTTTACTAGAACTAGTGCGTAAAAGACTGATATTCAGCTGGGGGAAGGAGAGAGAACAGTATGGAGTATTACTGTTTCATAGAGAGAAGACAACAAGTCTAGTTTCATATTTCCACTAAAGGTTTCTGAATGTGCAAATGCTGAGTTTCCATGGAATGACACAAGAGCTGGAAAAACAAATCTTTTATGAACTTACAAAATCTTCTAAAAGTCATGATTCAAGGAAAATGAAAGGAACAGTTGACTTGAAAAGATTACATTATCTTCACTTAAAATGGGGTCTATTTTTAAAGAAGCTTGACTAATTTTCAAATAGGGCTTACTTTTGTTGAACTAAGCTACCTAGAAATTTTAATTATTATATATTATATTTATTATTATAAGCTTCCTGTGTGTAATTCTGATGTACGATAAATAAATAATACCCAGAAATTGAAATTAAACCAAAATTATGTTCTGCTGTGAGTGAGCTAGGACACTAACAGAATATTGGTACATGGTATCAATCACAGGGAAGCCATGGTGGCTCAGAGGTTAAGACGCTGAGCTGCAGATGAAGGTCTGTACTTTGGCAGTTCAAGACCTGAGTGCCTCATGACAGAGTGAGCTCCCATCTCTGGCCCCAGCTCCTGCCAACCTAGCAGTTCAAAAGCAAGAAATTGCAAGTAGATAAATAGGTACCACTTTGGTGGGAAGGTAACAGTGTTCCGTGTGCCTCGGCATTTAGTCATGCCGGCCACATGACCACGGAAACGTCTTCGGACAGCGCTGGCTCTTCGGCATGGAAACGGAAAAGAGCACCGCCCCCTAGAGTCGGATTCAACTAGCTTTCGAGCAAGGGAAACCTTTACTTTTACCTATAAATCATATACTTAATTTATGACATGAATCCAGCATACATAACTTTTTTAAATTATATACTACAGAACATTTCCAGAATATGCTGGAGCACATGAAGAATACTTCCATCTCACAAAAAGGGAGTTTGCAATTTTCATTACCCTTCCATGATTGTTTCCTGACTTTCACCAAGCATAATTTACTGTCCAAACTGGTAAATTGTTGTCAGTGCCTTGCCTCCAAACTACAGTTTGAAATCATGGTTTCAAATGGGTTTGAAAACCACAGTTTGGAAAGAAGCACAAACTATAGTTTACATTTTGGATGTCACAGCACCGTGTGATCAGCAGAACCTGGAAAGCCAAGAACACAACCCTCATACAAGGGAGAAAGGAGACTATTCAGATCCATGGAAGCATGCTGAATCAATATACCATGGTTTGCTGTTATGTCTGAAATGAGCTCATAGCTCCCCCGTGAATCCTTCTCAAGCAAGCAGAGATGAGGCTTTCAGCTCACAAATAATACCCTTTAGTCCCACCTCTTGCAGCCATGCCTTCCTCCCTCTCTTGGCCTATCGTAGTCTCTTATGATCTCTTCTGCTATATCATTTCCTGCCTGTTCCTTAAAGTCATACTTTCTGCCATTGGGATGCGGCCATGGTTCAGTGGTAGAGCACCTGCTTTGCGTGTAGAAGTCTCCCGGTTCAATTCCTGTCATCGCCAAAAGGGATCAGGTAGTAGGCAATGCGAAAGACCACAATATGAAGCCCTAGAAGGCCACTGTCAGTCACATTAGGCAGTATTGATCCTGATAGACCAAGGATCTGACTTATTAGAAGGCAACTTCATGTACTGGAAGATAGGTCTACCAATGGCCGCTAGCCAAGAAAACCATGTCCAGAGGTAATAAGCATCTGATTACCAGTGAAGAGGGGCCACAGGAGGGAAAGGCTTTGGCATCTATGTTAAACAGGATGCTGGACTATTTTAAACAGGATGCAGGGCTTTTCTTATGTTCTTATGTTCCAGGTGCCAGGAATTTCCTTTGCATTCCTCTTTATGGGACTGAAGGCTCGGAGGTAAATTAGCCTTTTAAAAAGCCCTTTGTGCCCATTTCAATTCCTAAATACTTTTACTGATAACAGCAGTCAGGTTCTTACTTGAGCATGTTTTCTTATCCGCATTCAGGGAGTATCCTTCATAGCACTCACAGTAATAAGACTGGCCACCAGGAACACAGATTTGTTGGCAGTCATGGGTTCCAGATGCACAGACATCCTCAGTGGAAGACCGGACTGTAAAAGAGAATCACATTATACAGACGACAAGGGGGGACATGCAAATATTCACAAGGGAGAAGAAACCCCAAGTGCCATCGCCTCCCCAGCCTCACTCCACCAGTTCCATTCCCCCCCCATCCCTCTGCTGCTGCTGACTTCATTTACCCCTCCCTTCCGCTGCCTCCAACTCCCCCACCGCCTCTGTTCCTGCCCTCTCCCCTTCATTTCCGCATTACCACAATATCAGGTGCTTCAGCATCTTTCCATGCCGCCTGAATTCCAGGTTTTATTAATGTCTGCACACATTGTTCTTAACACTTTGTGTTTTGGGAGGGAAGTTACCGAGTCTGGTTGATGGCGGCGCGCTAGCAGACTCACCTCCCGGACCTTCCGGGGGTGAAGCTGCGCTCCAGCCGAAGGAGGGGGTGCGCAGGCTCGTTAACCCCCCCAGGGACCCGGCGAAGGGACCCTGGCCATGGAACTTATAAGAGGTTGCCTCTTCGATGGCAGAATGCCGGAGAATTGAGGCGCCTCTTCGTTCCGACGGTTCTCCGTGCTGAGAGACCGAATGGACTTAAGTGACGCTGACCGGGGCAAGCGCAGGAGATCGAGCGTCAGAAATGAAGCCGAAAACGAGGTTGGAAGACCAATTATGAACATGAGTCAGTTTTAAAGCATTTGCAAAGGAAAAAGATAGTTCCCCACCCCACTGAACGGGGAAAAAGGCGAGCGGGGGAGGGACGCCTCCCATGCGCATGAATTTTTGAGCGTTTGAGGGGGGGAGCGGAAGAAAACGTGAAAGAAACTGTCTAGAAGTACTTACCAAAGTGAGTTTAAGCATTCAAGCGCACATTCAGAGACTTTAAAAACATTTGTGAAAGTAAACAAACAATAAAGATGGTGGGGAAGAAGGACAAAGAAAAACTTTCGAAACCGAAAGGTACTGAGAGCTCGAAACCGGAAGTTACCAGTGAGTTGGCT